GCGATTTCAAAAATACGGTGTCTATTTTGAAAAATTTGTTAAAAATATTATATTTCTTCTCAATACAAAAGGTTTCTTTTTATTATAGATATAAAATTCAATTTCAACTTTACACATATATGACATGAGAAAAACACATGTTTCTTTTTTTTTCTATTTAAAACAATTTATTAAATATATATTTAAAGAAAAAATTTGAAAGAAAATTATTTTATGAACGTGTTACATTAACACATCTTAAACATGGATCACAACATTTTTCTCCAGCTGGACAATCAGTATCATTTTTACAATTGGATGGCAAACATAAAACTACCGATGGATCAAAACTTGATGGACAAGGTGCCAGATTTTTCAGTAGGATAACAATAACTATTACCTGCTATGCTTACAGTACAGATATCTTTTGTAATTGAACAAGTACTTTGTCCTTGTTTGCAGGCAAATTTATGTAAAGGTTGTTCTAATCAACATGGGTTAATAGATGTAACTGTGTAAGGACAATGTTTTTAAATTACAATTTTCTCATTCGAAATCGTTGTTAAACTTGATAATTGCCCATAAAAAATTGTTATAAGAAAAAGTAGAATTAAGATGAATTGTTTTTTCATTACCTTGAAATGGTAACAGTGCTTTTTATGATTGATAATAGAAGAGAAAATGGTTTTTACTTGAATAAATCGATATTTATATAGCTTGTTTTTATTCGTGATTGTTAGTTGGTTTGATTTATTTACACTTGATTATATATTATCGTAATGACGTAGCTTCTAAATAAAAACGAAAGAAAAAAAGAAGGATTAATAGCGCATGGTTTGATCAATTTCTTTTTTGAAAATTTTGATTCTGTTTTCAATCAATTATTTCATAATTAAACAAGCAATTTAAACATAAAAAAAGATATCATATGTATACATACATTTCAAGAGTAAATTACTAAATACAACAGTATAGATATTTTCTATCAACAAAAATAATATTAGCAAATCCAATTAATTCTTACAATCAACTCATTACTTAGGTTTGACCAAAAACGTTTTGGTAACAGTGGTGGCAATTTTACAAACTAGTTAACATTTTTTGAGTCTATTGCATAAATAAATAGTAAAATGTTTTGTCTACAATAACTCGATTTTAGGTTTAGATCTAATATTGATTGAGATAAAATCCAATTTCAACAAAAACAAATTATTTCAAAAAACGATAATGAAATTCGATCGATACATTTTGAGAATCGATTCAAAAAAACAATCCACCAGGAACTTAAAACAACATTGAAACCTAACTTTCTATTATATGGAACAGTTGCAAAGCGAGCAAAACATTTTCATAAAGGAAGCAAAGATGAGAAAAGTTCCATTATGTTGGGTACCTCATCAACTGAATGATGAACAAAAGCAAGAACGAGTTAGAATGTCTTGTTAAAATTTGACGAAATTTCGTGATGAATCATAGCGATTATGTAATTTCGTGTATATATTCATTATATCAAATTTGTCCTATTCTCATGCATAGTGTAGATAAAAGTCAGATTACAGATCACAACTATCATATTGAAAATTGTCTCAAGTCTATTGCTAATGAATATAGAAACAAATAAAGTGAATAGGTGCAATAGGTATAAAACTACTTCTTAAAAAATGCTCTACCTCATACTCATCCAGAGATTATTAAATAATTTAACACAAGAGGGTATCAATATAATGTTGTATCGCTCGTTCTAACCAGATCTAGCACTATGTAACTTTTGGCTAAACGATTGTAGCAAGCGTAGTTTGAGTGATTAAACAAATCAACAGTTACCGAATCATGCGGTTTCCAAGGTAGTTAAAACTACTCCAGAAGAGGAGTTTAAAATATTTATACATAAAATTTCCTCTAATCATCTAGAATAAATTTTGATCAACGTAATTTCATCGACTTTATTGTATTTTTTGTAACTATACTCAATATATGATTTTTCAAATGAGACACAGTTGAATCGAATATTGGCTGTAATAATTATTATATTTGACGTATATTTTAATCTTGTCATTAATGCAAATATAATCATTAGAAATACTAAAATTGATATGATAATCAATGAATATATTAGATCAATCAAAATATGACATGTCTTCGTTTTACAATTACATGTCAAAGAACTATTAGATAGATTTTCTGTATAAAAATAGAATAATATAAGATAGATCGATACTAAAAAGAAAAGAATCATAATCATGCATTGATTACCATTATTCAATGTACTTGTTTATCAAAGATAACTGCTCTCATAAGATTAAATCTTTGAAAACCACATACAGAATTCTATGCAGTATTCCTTTTTAGTGATTCTCAATTTTTGAATAACTCACGAACAAAAGAAAGATATTGAGATGTGATGATGTACGTAGTTTTATTGACTCATCTTAAATATACTATTAATTTTGCCTGCATCTATATGGGAAGTGAAAAAAATATGCAAAATAAAAAAATAACTTAGGGTTTGAATGACGATGAAGTCCTATTGGCAATATTTAATCTGTGGTTTCATACTGAAAGCAAAAGATAGTCAGAGCTACATTTTGATAAAAAAAGAAAATACCTTCATGTCTTTCAGATCTTAAGTTATTAGCGTTTAATGACAAAAACAAATGAAATATGTATATCTCACGAATAATTCAGGAGAAAAATCCTAAACTTGTTGAGCGATCAGCATTTGCTGTTAACAATGATCATAAAAGTTTAGAAATCCCTAACTATTACAGTCTAGCAATGGTATTTAAAAGGTTACAGACATTAATTGACCATCATCAACGCTAGATTTATGCAATTCAATCTCAGAAGTTCGGATGAACTTTTCAAAAGAATTCATCAGTTCGAACATTTCTTTGATATGAATTGTAAGTTGATATTCTTGCCTTGATTCTTTTTCGTCTTAAGTTTCAGCCATGATTTCTTCTATGAAAAAGATTCTTACTAGAGTTGAAAGATATATAACTATCCTTTGTTTCTTATATTTCTATATAAATCACTAACACGTATTTATTCATTCACTTCTACAATGAACGTTTACCAGTTAACATGCTTTACAAACCAAGTAAGTTAGACAATTTTATTTTTTCTTAAGATTACTTTTTTGATCTACTCGATTAACATTTTATTAAAATGGCTATGAATTTCTGCTTCATTTTTTACTGTATGATCATTCGGTTCAGTATTGTAATGCTGGTAATTCCAGTGCAAACTTCAAGAATAAAATAAAGGATAGTCGAAAAGTTTCGAGTTCCTATAAGTAAATCGATAATATCTATGAGAAAATTACACATGATTAAATAAAAGATACTGCGATTTGCATAAATGCAATAATTATTTGTCTAATCTTGAGTAGACATCGGCGTGACCAACAGTTTTTGGTCACGGTCACGATCACGACCGTTGCCATCGTGACCGTGACCGTGAGTCACGGTATCTACGCCAGTCCTTATACGAACGACTATTTTCTTTTTCTCAAAATAGCATACCCTTCTCTTCCGATACGAGGTCCCTATATTAGAAGACTTTCCATAATAGAAGACCCCCTTGGAGAAATACGTGCAACACTTAGTATAAGATCTTATTCAATTATCGAATTTTTCGAAAAATGACAACTTCAACCACTGGATTTACATCATAATATGCTTAGTTTTCAGAGTTTTCAGCTGAAAAATTTAATTAAGTATTTTCAACATTGTATCTAGACTTTTAAAATCCGAAAAATTCCTTCTCAAAGCATCAAAATCGCTTTGGCTTTCTGAACAATTTTTTCAGTTGCAATCTGTAAAAAGAAAAGAGACATTACCCAAACCCTCTGGAAAAGTTTTAGGATTAGACACAATAGAAAACCTCGGATCTACTCGTGCGGAGAGGCAAAAGGTAATATAACTGATAAACGAAAAAGATTAGGTATGAAAAAAATTGATGAATTTGTTTTTTGAGAAAATTTCTTAAAGTTCTTGAAAGTGTATTTGGCCAAAACCTGAATAGAAATGGGCGAAATCAGAACAAGTAGAGAAATGNAGAATCAGAATGATATTTTTACTGCAATAGATAGTTCTGCTTTGATTTAAAGATTTTCGAGAATTATCGATTTTGAGTGATAGAATGTTATGGATCTTCATGTTCCTAACAAATATGAGTCGGAAAATTTCAGGAAAGAATTGCGTGCAGTCCATCATTATATGATACAAATTCGAATGCAAACAATAGAGCCTAACCCAATATTCGAGTCAAATATGAGCAGGCTTATTTTTTTATTTCGGCAGGTTAATGGAGAATGATTCATAGGTTAACAAAGAAAAATCCATTTGCAATGAAAATTTATTTATCAAGAAAGCTAGAGCCGAGCTTTTCAGTGATCGGTTGAATGCATTTTCATTGCCTTTGGACTTTGAGATAATAGAATATGAAAATTCCTTAATGTTAGCCTGCTAGCTGCGGGGCTTTTGTCCACGACTGTAGATATGAGTTTTCATTATTTATTTCTGCTTAAATATAGATAACAGTGAGGAAGTCTGTTTCTTTTCTTTTTGAACATTTAGAATTAATTAAAATTATTTTTCTTTTATTTTAGTCATGAATAAAATCGCATCGCGTCAATGTTCAACACCTAACATAGTGAGCATTCTTGATTTGTTTTTTGAAATGAGATAGAGTGAGACTCAGCAAAGTGAGCGTTAATGGGAGGGGGGATGGATGATCCATTTCCAGTGAGGTTCGGTCCTTGCTATCTTTGTAGGACGTCCGGAATAGTACCTAAAAGCTCGGTCAGGAGCTATCTTGGTCTTTAAGACACACGGCCGACCTTTCACCAGACTTTTTGAGACATCTTGGCATGGATGAGCTTTACACTTATCATGGCTCTACCAGAATGATTCCTTCTTGCAAGCGCGCGCGAATAGAATAAGAATTCCTTTCACCAATTCAACGTGATTTATTAGCAGAAAAGAAAGAAAAAAAGATTATCCGTCGTAATGAGTCTCTTAGATAGAAAACTGTTGAACACGGTAATTTCCCCGGTCGACAACATAGAGATTGCCATGACAATCAAAGGACAAAGCCATGGGACCATTGAATTGATTTGCTTTTGTTCCTGGGCCACTTCCGCCCACGATGACAGTGCCTTGTGTCGCTCCTTGAGGCCAACCAATCACTCGATTATTCCACGAGTCTGCTATACAGAGAGTACCCAAAGTATTGACGAACACTCCGTTAGGATACGACAATTGTGCGAAACCATTTCCTTGGCCTTGATCCCCAGCAACGACAATTCCTTCTGTTGCACCTTTATCCCATTTCATCACACGATCATTGCTCCTGTCCGATACGTAGATAGTCTGTTGTCTATCGACAAAGAGATAAGTCGGACCATTGAATTGATTGAGACCACTACCTATACCATTGCCACCGGCCACAACAATTCCATTCCAGTCACCCTTTTCATATCGTCTTACTTCATCTTTCTCGTAGTCAGAGACATAAAGATATTTCTGGTCATCCATGGCCAATCCCCAACACTTGGTATTGTGTATGAGAACTTCTCCATGAGCTGTACCACTACGACGAGACCATCGTACAACTCGTCGATTCTCTCGATCACAAATAATGAGACTATCCGTCTCTTTGTCGATCAACACATCAGTTGGCTCATTCAATTGATCCAATCGACTTCCTTTGCCATGACCACCAGCCACGACTTGTCCATTTGTATCACCTGCCCTCCATTGAACAATACGATGGTTATATGTGTCAGCGATGACTATCGTTTGATCATCATCAACGAAGAGTCCATGAGGGCCCCATAATTGATTGGTGGCATTGCCATACCCATGGCCTCCAGCAACGGTCACTCCATTCCGCGCCCATCGGGCATTGGCTGGAATATTGGGAATTACTACAATAAACGAGGAAAAGAAAAGGAATCATCATCGTCGTTGCCAACGAATAAGACATTCTTCTTCCTTGAAGGGAACTTAATAAAACTTTCGAGAATGTTCTTCTCTAACATTTTCTAAACAAGAAAACGTTTTTTCGCACACATCTAAATTAGAAAACCTCTTGCTAGTTTCCTATGCTAAAAGAAGAACTTTGTAAGGATTCTTATGAGAATTTGTATTTACAGGAACTTATTTAAGATCTTTCCAAGATATTTTGGAATTCCTAGAAAGAGGACTTCTGTGAAGTAGCTTTTCTGAAATACTAGAAAGAGTAACACTAATCCTATGCAAGGTCTGGATAGGAAAACATAAGAATCTAAGGATTTCATTCATAATGTATACGATGAACTGCAGACAAGGTTTTAAGCAATAAAATAAACATATATGTCAGATTGCTAAACTGAAAAAATACTGAGAAGATTCTGTCTGAATTTTGGTCCTAGGAGTGCCAAATGCACGTTACAGCATACTTTTGGAAGTGCTTTCGAGAACGTATTGATCACATGTTCTTCTCCTGAGAGGAATCTGACAAGATCATATCCACGTTCCAGGTGTGTAAAGTTGTGACAGTGCGAAAAGATTCCACGCAGATCTTTGAAGAGAAAGGCTTTCTGCTAAAGATAAAGAATACCTTGAAGTTTTCTTGAGAAGAGAGCAAGGAGGTTAATGCAGAAGTTAGTATTCTTGAAACTGCTCAGAAGCCTAATACTAATAGTATGTTAGCTATCGACTGGAAAACATAGAGATTTGAGGATTTTATTCATAGTGTATAATGCAGAATTATACTAATGATTACTAGACACAGCTCTAGCAAACTTAAGTCCTTAAACAGCTTGCGTTTAAGCAATTCAATAATGTACACTGTCAGAGTCCTGAAAAATGAAAAAATATGAAGAAGATTTTATTCAGATCTTGTGAGAAGGATCTCAAGCATAAAGATTTTGACTATACTCGGTAAACAAATGTACATCGTCAACAGTAGGTATACTTCAGGATGCTTTTCACTTGCTAATAAGAAATTCCTCATTACATGATTTATAGGGATGATAAATGCAAAAATCTGCTGAGGCATGTCTTCAATATGGGCATAGAGTACAATGATGTGATTCTATTAGGTTTTTGCGAACTTATGTTAAGCTGGTTGAAAGGCGATCGTGATGAGGTCTTAGCAAGAAATAATAAGAAAGCTTGTATGCATACGAAATTGAGGAAACTTCACAGGATTCCATGATGGATCTTTGGAATCTGATGCCTTCTACTTATGGAATATTGACAAGACTAATGCTAATTTTATCCGAGGTCTCCATAGAAAAACATAGGGATATGTGGGTCCTGATGGAATAGCCAGAAAGTGTTCTACGAAGCTATTATTAGCTTTTCGCGAAAATTAGCTTTAGACGATTACACTAAGATGCTACGGCGTGTCACAAATGTTTTACAACGTTTTATGCTTTATATACGTGTATCTCAATTTAGGGAAAAGATAAAATTTTGAATTTGTTTTTGAAAGATTGGTAATTCAATTCTCTTCAAACTTCTATTTACGTTCATTTTAAACAATACATTAATAATGGAGAGATGAACAAAATTGAATTCAAGAAGAAAAAGAGAAAAATATACACATGTCAACATGTAAATAAAGTTTCGGCAATTAAAATAAACTTTTTTAAAACTTAAAGTAGTCGATATACTCAATTATGCTAAAGTGATAAGTAGTCATGACACCTTAACGTACATTGTCACTTGAGATTGCACAGACGAAAAGTCATAAAAATGCGTTCTTTTTTAATTTCAATAGGTTCATCATAAAATTTATATTTCGATTTGCTTCTCTGATAGAGACACNCCCATAAAAAGGGTTTATGAAAGTTAACCCATAGCCAGGAAAGGGTTTATGAAAACATTCAGTACACTCGTATCATTTCTCCCAATGAACACCCAAGATTATAAAAAATTTCAAAAAAGATCGGATTAATCATAATTACCAAATCTTAAAATAGCTTTTACGAACGTTTCTCTACTTCTGATAGATTGACTAGAACGAACAGTAAATATTAGAATAACATATAAGAGACATATTATCTTTCTGAAAGAGTCTTAAAAAAACGACGTCTGAAAAATGCTAGTTTATGCGTAAAAACGTATAATTCTCGCTAAAAATCGAAAATTGTATCCTCATGCAAAAGTCATAAGCCCTTTACCTTAAATTCGTAGATAATGTACCCTTACACGTAAAATAATAAACGTTTCTGATGAAAAAGTAGAATAATCTACTCTAAGCGCGTAGAATATTAAACCCCTTTCATACAATTTCATGGTAATAAACCCTTATTATTTTCATATACCCTTACTTTCATAAACTTTTCGACTCCAAAACTCTTTTTGGGTATAGCAGATCGTCATAAACCTTTTAAGAGTTTATGAAGAGTTGACAAGAGAGTAATCGTTTAATATTATGCTCTGTTATTTTACAGTGTATGCGATGCAGATTTAGTTACTATAGTCCATTTCAGAGTTAAATGGCCCTGGTCATTTTTTAAATAACTTTCGATCGGCAAGGGCAATCGAGCTCGGAGTTTCGTCATTGTAAAGAGGAAGCTCCAAAGCGTCTTTTTGCACGATTGTGTCAAGTTCAACGATACTTTTTCCGGACCGATCATACATTAATACCTTGTTGTTACATTTTTCCAATGAATTTTCTCCATATTTTAGCTTCAAACTACACCAACTTGTAGCCCTAATCTCGCTTTATATGTAGCAAAAATTCGATATCTTCGTGTCGTCTTTTCTATCTCTTTTTTTCAATAAGATCACTTTGCTGTATAATTATGTTATAGTGCATATAGCGGGTCTTGAGCTACAAGTTGGTGTAGTTTAACCCTTTGAGTCTCGACTTTTTTTTACCGAATTTAAGTTTGATAAAACATACTATAAAATAGCTAGATGATATTACGAAACCTCTGGTTACGTTAAAACAAAAAACTGTGTCATTATATGATTATATATTTATTCATTTCAATGTTGATATACATAGTTTTGATGATACAAAGAAAAACAATTTTTCATACATAAACAAACACCACAAAAAGTACTCATCACATCCGTTCTTTTTTCTTTTTCTTTCGTGCTACAATAAGCACATCGACGACGAGTTGAAATAACTTCTGGCATATGACCTAACAGTTGTGGCTTTTCAGAATTTCCCATGTCACTAATGCTCTTTTCGATGCGCACCTTCTTCTGATTACTCATTGCCAAAGGTCTTCCTAGCCTTCTTCTACTACAATAATTGCCTGTCAGTGCAGTGCTAATAGACGATATATATTCTACTGTACTAATATTACTATTAGAAAGATGTTTATAATAGATAAATGAATTTACCAATGACATACCAAGGAAATGAAAAAGTATTCTTATCCAATTTCTCTTTGACTTTCTATCAATTGTATAATACTTTATTTTTTGATCAGATAAATCCACGCCTCCCATATATTTGTTATATTGAACAATTGCTAATGGACAAGAAATTTGCTTTCTACTTCCATCTTTATTTCGTCGACTAACCACACTCAACTGCAGGGTCAAAGTAGTTTGATGCAACGAGAACTTCTTTCTTGTCCATCCATTTTATTACAGAAACTCCATTAGATGTTAGATATCGATAATCGCCTCTCTCAAGTTGTTCTCCTTTCTTCAATTCAATTGGAAAATATTTTCTATTGGAACGAATTGTACCAGTAGCTGAATTTTTTTCTCTCCTTAGCTTGTAAAGTAATTGTAAGGAAGTAAAATAACTATCGAAAAATAATTGACGATTCTTCATTCCTATTCCATTTATTAATGACATGACTACATGCTCTCCTAATGACAAACATCGTTCTGTGTTTTTTCCGGTATAAATTTCAAAGTTATACACATATCCTGTACTCGATTCGGCCAAGACCCAGACCTTATATCCCCTCTTAGTTGGTTTCAATGGTTGATACTGTTTTATAGACGATCTACCCTTGAACTTTATTATCGCCTCATCTATGGAAATGCATGATCCAAGTGAGTAGTTTTTCTGAAAATTTCTTTTCAAAATATTGAGAAAATCATTCACTTTATACAATTTATTATAATTAGAAGAGTTTTTTTAGCACATTTTTGAATTATCAGCAAGATGAATGTTTGAAAAGAGTCCTTGGAAGTCGTTTCTTGTCATTGTGTTGGCAACAGCTGGTGTGAACAGATTTTTGTCTTGACTCCAATAATCTCGCATCCTAGGCAGCTTGTGAAATCCCATAATAAACAAAATACCGAGAAATGCATGGATTTGATTTTCATCCACTTCTTTCCAGTTTGTTGCATCTCCACCTTTTTGAATACACCGTTGCTCCGCTTAAATGTTGGTTTGATCAATAATTAATTTGATCTCATATTGAGATATAAACTCGAAAAACGAATCTATTGGTCGAATTATATTGTTTCCTAATGCATGTCCATCAAAATAATTGAAAGAAGTAGAAAAACTTGAGTTGTCAACTTTTCATTCCCAATCATCCATTGAACTTTGATTGAGTTCTTCGATTAATGAATCATTATCTTCAGAACCAGTACTTTCAAGTTCATCAGAATTAATTGTACTTTCATTTTCATCGGATAAGGTTTCGTCAGAATCGGAATCCATTATGTTTTAGAAAACAGTTAGGTTTTCATCACGACACAATGACTCAAAACATGAATTTTTCAAAAATTTAGATTTTTGAAGAAAAATTTCTGAAATCAAATACACATGCCGCAGTACACTTTTCGATATGGTCTATTCACACGGATATCTGTACAATCTCGCACAAATATGTCTTAACTACGAACATTTGTTGAAAATATTCCTTCTAGATCTTAAAAACCACAAACATATTTGAAATTTTTTGAAAATTAGAAACTTTCGCTAGGTGGGACATATATGTCCCACTGGGACTCAAAGGGTTAAAGCTAAAATATCGAACAAATTCATTGAAAAAATACAGCAATTAGGCATCAATGTATGATCGGTCGGAAAAGTGTCTTTGATCTTGACAAAATCGTGCAAAAATACGACTCGGAGCTTCCTCTTTGCAATGACGAAACTCCGAACTCAATAGCTGTTGCGGATCGAAAGTTATTCAAAAAATGGCCACGGCCATTTAACTCTGAAATGGACTATAGAAGCCACAAGTCGCAGGAACTTCTGGTTCCAAATACGATAGCCCACTTNTTTTTTTAATGAACGGTTCATACTTAGACGATGTCAGTGATTACAAGACATTTTTACCTATTAATTGAATTGCAGGTAGGGACGATATCTTGCCTTTCATGCATCTCTCTCAATTGGCTTTCTGATATACAACTATTCACTTATTCTTCTCCGAATGTGTCACTCCTTTTGATCTTGTATTTCTCTGATCTTCTCGGTTTTTATTCTATCTTTGAACAAATCATTGATACCAAAAAGAAGTTACAGAAAGTTATTAAGATGTGTACGTACGATGTTGTTTCATTTACACTTACTTCCCTCAAATTTTCAAAAAATGAACAGCTATCTCTCTTAGCTTCTCATTCCTTATTCATACATTTATTGTATTTCCTATGTCTTTTATTATTTCCGTAAATTTATTCAAATTTGATGTTGATGATACATTAATTGTCGTAGTCATTACTCTTTTCCCTATTTCTTTGTTATAAACAAATTATCGAAAAATCAATTATTAGCAATAAAAATTGTAATTCTATGTAATTATAAACGAATCAAAATTGAAAAAAATCGATGTAAAGTTAGTGTTAAAATTTATTCTACTTGTTCAGTATCTATAGTTTCTTTAAATATCGAAAAGTGCATAAGATCAAACGTGTAAAAACATCAAAGAGGAGAAGAAGGAAAGAAGAGAATTACCGAATAGTTGTATATCAGAAAGCCAATTGAGAGAGATGCATGAAAGGCAAGATATCGTCCCTACCTGCAATTCAATTAATAGGTAAAAATGTCTTGTAATCACTGACATCGTCTAAGTATGAACCGTTCATTAAAAAAAAAGTAACGTTTCAGTTTATAACTTAATCAAATGATGAACCACTTAGTGTAGTATCTAAAGTGAGAATGAAGATGTGAACAATGTGGATAAGGTTCTGGATGAATAGAATACCTATCCCATGTGAAAATGTTATAATATCGTTTTGAAGTCGACTAAAATCGTACCATTATAATCTGAAAAAATTTGATACCCTTATTTTTTTTTTCCACTAGTTTCAAGTTTTTTTTTTCTAATGCTTCTAATTTATCATTGCAATTTAATCAAATTCAATTGATATTTAATAAAAATAATCAATTTTCATCAAACTTCATTACTTCTTTATAAGAGAACATACACAGTCGAACGCTTGCACTTTAATTTACTTATGTCTTAATTCATTTGGTTTAAAAAATGATTACCCAAATGAGTTTGTTAACTTTTTGTGCGTGTTCATGATAAACAAATGAATGCAGAATATCGTGCTCATTCTGATGCAAGTGATGTTCACACATAAAGCCGTCTATCGCTAACTTTCTTTGATATATATTTTCATATTGATATATTGTGGATTGTGGACTACATTTTGGTTAATGTGAATTTTGATTCACTTCCTACGACCCATAATAGATTTGATTTTCATTACTCAAACTTCCATTCAATAGGTGAGTATTTATTGCTTAATTTCTCTTATCCATATTTTATCATTTGGAAGATAGTATTTTTTGTTTTGTCTGATTTATTTTTCCAACAATATGTGTTGCATTATTATTTTATTATCTTTTTGCTTTAACTGCGTAATGAATTTTGAGACATGATAGAATGTCTTGCTTTAGATTAATATCTTTTCGTCATTTCATTCAACGTTCGTTTCCATTTAGTACAATCAATCCTTTCTATTACATGGAAAGTTTACAAGAAAAATCTAAATTAGTTGATAAACATATTCAGCAATTAATATATCCTATTGATAATATCGGTAGGAATAAGTAAAATTGTATTTTATTTTATTATATTTATTTTTTGTTATACAGAACAACTTGATTCAGATGTACATATTAATGTACTTGAAGAAAAAAATATACAATTAAAAACAGGTGTACAAAATCCTATTGATGAATTGGTTACACTAAAAAATCAACAAGAAAGTAAATATATTTTATATAAACACAAAAAATTAATAAATCTGTTTTCTTTTTCTTCATTTTCAGTAACACAACATTATGATTTTGTAAACAAAATTTCAATAGTTTCTAATCAATTAACTGTTCAACATAAGAAATCAGTTGAAGTTTCACAATCAACAGCTTCAGCTATTCCTAGTGAAGATCAACAAAAAACAAAAGAAAAAAAATAAAATTATTAAAGAAGGTTATATAAAATTGAATAAAATATTCTAAATAAAATTTTATATTTATATAGAAAATCTAGAAAAATCAGTAGCTAATACTGCAATGGATATAACACGATTTGATTTACGTATTGGAAAAATTCTATCTGTTAAAAAACATCCTAATGCTGATTCTTTATATGTTGAACAAATTGATGTTGAAGAAGAAAAACCACAAACAGTATACTAACAATATTCATTAAGAAAAAAAAACACAACATTTTTTTATTTTTTTATTATTTTATTTAGGTATGTAATGGTCTTCTAAAATATATGCAACCAAGTGATGTAAGTTATGAAAAACACTAAAAAAAACAATCATTATTTTTCTCTATTAATAAAATTATTCTAGCTTGATCAAAAACTTGTTATTGTTGCATGTAATTTAAAACCAGTAAAAACGCGTGGAATTACATCTGAAGCAAGTAAGTTTAAAGAAATAAAATCATTTAATTAATTAATATATTCGGTTTTTTTTAAATAGTGCTTATGTGTGCATCAACATCAGAAAAAATTGAATTACTTGAACCATTAAGTGATTGTAAACCAGATGATCGAATTGAATGTGATGGTTATAATTGTTCATCATCGCATGCACAAATTACAAAAGAATTATCTGATTAAATTTTACCTTATATGCGTATAAATGAAAATGGTGAAGCAACATTTAAAGGAGCTTTATGGCGAGTAGCTAATGATAAAGGTGTTATCAAATGCAAAACTCTCGTTAATGTACCTATTAAATAATATGTTGAAAACATTTTTTTTTCACTTATGATGATTCTATGATAAGAATGTTTTCATCTTCATATTATTAAAAATCTTTTTTTTATTTCATGAAAAGAAAAAAAAGAATAATATGATAAACGGTTTTAAGTTATCCTAATTGATTTCTTTTTCTATGCTTTGAGAACAAGTAAAAATGATTGATTTAAGTATATGACAAACAATAACAACATTGAAATGATATATTAATGAATGTATTAAATCATTAAGGAAAAGATTCAATGATTGTTAATAATTTCAAAATCAACATGACAAAGTATTTGAGATGAATAGATACTCTGCTTCATTCTATACCAAACAATCTTTTATTGTACTCATTCAAGAGATAAATCTATCAAATGAAATAGTCATTTTTCATCAACTGATCGAGTTTTTACGTAAACAAGGAAAATATTTTCATCTATCCCCTTTGATTTGTTTTTCAAATAATAGTCGTATAATATTATTATCCTACTTATTGATTTCAATCTATAGATCAGATCTTGATAGTCCGAAATGCTGATCAAATATTTATGAAAATCAAAAGATTAATACTTCAGCAATAGATTCATTATCAAATTTCAATTAATCTTATTTACTACGATCCCTATTTGTATTATAGAGTGTTCTCTATTGAAAGAAGTAATATCAATTATTTTTAATTATCAATGAAATTTATATAACATCAATATATGAATATATTTAAAAATAAATATATGATATTCTTTGGACTCGTCTATTTCACATACTCATCTTTTTTTTTTCTTTTGATTGGTTTACTTCTGTTTTTCTTCTTTCTTTTCTTCAGTCAGCTTTCACTTTGTCTTTTTCTTTATCTTTATCGTTCTGTTTGTCTTGTTTTAACTAAAACAATATCTATTTTATTTTTATTTTTTCCATGTGACAGTCTATTTTTAATCATTTTTGCACTGTCTTAGTCTGAAATAACTATTTCTTAGTCTTGACTTTTATTTATACAAGAAAAAATATTTAAAAAAAAACTTTCTGTCATTGTTAAGAATATGTGTATCTGTCGTTTTGATACTTGTTTGACTATGAGAAAAGAGGTTAAAAAAATGCCGTATCATCAACTAAAAATATTGTCGAAAAAATGCTTATAAGAAATAAAGATTATAAATCAATAACGATAAAAAATCTAAACTATTCAAATGACGAATACAATTCCAATGTTTTATTATGTAATATTTTGTATATATAAGTTTGAAATTTAATAAAGATCTAATAAAATTCAATAAAACTAATTCAAATTTTTTCCTAGAAGTTCTATAAAAATTTTCTATATTCTCAATGATATTATGTCAAACAGTAACAACTATCATTGTATAGACTTCATAATTCATCAGAAAACTTTTCTTAATATATCAAATTTAACAATTTTATTTTATGATAATAGAATTTTTATTGTGTAAAATAAAATTTGAAAGAAAATGTATCTCATTTTATCAAGATCAATCGAGTCCGAGTCACATTTTCTTAATGAGTCGAACTCAATAATTGGAAGATGTTGATTCGATTGTGTGACTCGAGTCATTCACTCCAAAAGCAAAAAAAAAAATTATTTAGAATTATAAACAAAGACAATTTATAAAATAAAATTTTTCTCTAACTCATATCTTTTGTTCTAATTAAATATACTACATTAGAAAGTCTTTTCAAAAGATTTTTTCTACTTATATATTCATTCATATGGTCATAAATCTTAGCTTATAAGGGTAGAATTTTTTTTTATCGTTAAAAACTTGAGTTTTGATCATCAAAATAGTCTAACTGTGAAATGATCATCAAAACATGACTGTTTTTATTACCAGATTTAACAAAAATAACAAATAGAAAAAGTATTTACAACGGTTTCTATGGTTTATTTTTCACGAATTTACTTTTGTGTTGATTGTCTTCAATTTTAATTGGTTGTTTCTAGAAAAAAAAATCTACTCCTGAGAATTTATTTTTTGTTAATTATTTAGATGAAGGAGTGTAAGTATATGACGAAGAATAACTGGAATATATTGTTCACAAAATGGCATAATCTCTGATTTAACACTATCACAAAATTGAATAGATTTAAAAAAAATTTTTTTTTTCTCTTTTGTTGTAGATGTATTGATGGATTGGCCTCTGCAGTAGTTACGATTCCTATTTAATAGGATCTCTTGATATAGGAAGTTGTTATAAGCTATTCATCCTCACCTAGTCTCATTCTTAAGATCAAATAAAATTAGAAAATTTGAGTTTTGTTTATCAAAACATTTGGTTCTATTTTTGTATCTTATGTTTTATTATATTCGACGATCAAAACATATTTTCCTTTAATTTAACTATAAATAAATAATTTTTATTAGTAAATGGATTCAAGTTTAGGTTTTTGGTCATAGAAAACAATATTTTTGTTATTTTGGTATACAATTCTATTAAAAAGAAGAGTTGATTTTAGTGTTCTTGTTGTGTTGTTAAATCTATAACAGTTATGTCATTTTATCTTGTGTACAATTCTCTCTCTCCATATTAAAAGCTTCCCTGAATGGGATCAATGAGTTAGACATAGTATATGCCCCTCTTTTTAAAGACTCTCAAATTTTTTGAAAACTTTTATTATTAATTTCATAGTAAAACTATCAATTTTTCAATGTTTTAAGATAAAAACTTATTTTACTCTTACTTGTTAGCATAGAAAGCTTGAACTACTTATGAAAATTCTTCGTATAGCCTTCAAAAACTCTGAAAATTTCTCAACTCTTTTAAACAATTTTTGAATCTTAAATCTTTGCAAAACGTTGAGACTTAACGGAGACTCTTTCCAAAAATTTCAACGCTTATACAGTTTAGAAACATTGAACGCTTCTACTATGGGGACAAAGGATTATAACTATTCGATTTTTTTTTTTTTTTTTTTTTTTTTGTATAGAAAAATTAGGAGCTAGAAGTCATGTCATGAAAAACTTATTGTTAACGTTCTTTAGAGAAACAAACAGAAAACGAAAAAAATTACATAAAATATCTTGACTTGACTTGACTCGACTCGACTAGGAAACCATGGTGAATCAACTTGACTCAACTCGAAACCATTTCGAAATGATTCGGATTCGATTCGACTCGACTCGAAAAATAGTTTGACTCGATCAACCCTGTATTTCATTCAAGGTCAGTCTAATAGTATTTACATCTAATAATTAATGATTATCTACTTAATATAAATAAATTTTGATTAAATAAGGATAATCGATATTTTAATATCTTCTTGATTACAACTCAAATGAAGTTGATGAGTATAGTAATGAATTTTATTCTTATATAACTTGAGTGACATTGATAATATGTTTATTTTGGTCAATGAAAATTTCAGACGTGACCTTAATCTAAATGTAGAAGTTTTTTCCAAGATCTGTTGAGGATGAAATTGATCTAATAATTTATGCAAGAATTAACCAATAAGTAACATTTTTTATTGATTAAAGAAAAAAAAAGTTTTGTGATTTTCAAATAAATACAATAAATTCATACATATTTCAACTTCTTATTGTTATTAGTTTTACTTTTCTATAATCTCTATACAATAAAAGTTTGTTTTTGTTTCTCTGGTATATTTTATTTATTCTCATTTTTTGAATATATTTGAAAAAATCAAAATTTTCAACATATGTCAAGAGCAGATTCTGTTTAGAAAATCCAAATAAGTCATTTTATAGTTGTCTAATTTCCATAATAATAAATTTTTTTTTTTGAAACTTTGAATATCTATAAAACATTATTCCAAACTTTGATAAATACTTATTTATAATCTTTTAAAGAAAAAATAAAAAAAAAAACAGACTACTTTTTGATTATAAATAAAATCTAAACATTGAATATTTTAATTATTCTTGTTAAGATCTTTTCAATTCTCTTATTTGATTTCATTTATTCTATCAACTTTCATACTCATTCAATCTATTCTATGACATTAATATTCATTTTTTTGTTTTTATAAAAAAATTATTACATTGTAGACAATAATTACAATTAATCAACAAGATAATGATAATGTATTATATTATTCAAAGATTTATTTTCGAAATCATTTATTCTTTCCATTGTCTTTTCTTTTAGAATTTTTTTATATTTGAAATATATATATAAAATTTTTTTTTTATATATGAGTATTTAATTCCTAGTGTATATCGAAGAATTTTTAATGTAAGAAT